CAAAACACTTTGATAAAGCTCCTATCCGTATCCCTGCACAAACTTTCCCTGTGCCCACGTCCATGCTTATTCCCGCTGTTTTCTTAATCAGCGCTAGTCCTTTCTGTGCCAACTCCCGGCTGTGTAGCTCAAACTTTGCAAAAAATCGAAAAAATTGATATTGATTGATGACGGAATGTAGCCTATGACACCCGCCCGGCTTCGAAGTGCATGTGTGCCAAGTTTGCACCGGATTGGTTGAGAAGTGGAATTTCCTGTTCGGAACATACATGCAGACAGACATTCAGCTTTGTACATAAGATGGAAAAGTGGCTCCCAATCCCAAAATCCAAATTATACACGAAGTCACACAATTTTGACCAGTATGTTCAATTCTGTTCTCTGCAAAGTTGATGAGAAGATAGTAAGACGAAGATTGCTGAGCTTCTGCGCACAGAAACGCCGCATCCACCTGAACAATTCAGATATCTTCAAAGAATTTTTAAAACTCTCCATTAGTCAGTTGTGATCTTTACTGGAAAAAAGCATTAGCTTAAAATCAGCAAATTGATGTTCTGTGGTTGATCCAAAGTTTTGATGGAACTGATAGTTTCAAACTGTCTCGAAAACACTTCAGAGTAGGAAGTTGTGATACTTTTGAAATAACCGATATCTTACCTGACAGAGAGGAGATTTACTATTCGCTACAACTCAGTATCTTCCTCTATCTTCGCGATAAGCGGAATTGCCCAAGGGGACGTTTTGTCCCCACATCACAGTATCCATATCAGTGATCTTTTTGATCCGCTTCATATTCTGATGCCGACAAGAACGAAGTTACCAAAGCTTTGAAATCTTGTCTACAGATTATATTGTCTTGGGCAGTCATGAACAACACTGATTTGAATTTGAATGAAAGTGCTTGCTTGACCATTACCAGAAAAAAAGAAAAATGATTACTTTCTATTGAATTATGCTCATTCAGGCACCTCCATTTTAGACCCCTACTTGTGCATTTTAGCTTCTTGGAACTTCCTCTACTTGATAGACATGACCGTGCAGATGAGAACAAAACAACTCACTCAGATATGTTTCGAATCACCGTGATTGGAAATTATTCTCTGTTCTTCTAACGCGCGTGCTGTGCAAGAGTTGGGTCCTATTTTTTACCCTCTCAACCCGTCTCGACTGGAACACTGCGAAAAATCACTTCCAGCCTGAAAGAACTTCAAAACAGTCTACGAGAAAGAGCACCCTTACAGAATCAAGCAATAGCAAGTGCGCGTCTATCAATAACATTTGAAGTGCATTCTACAGACAACAAAGTGCCACTCCCAAAACCGATATATCCTTCCGTCTCCTCACACGAAGTTTTCAAAATGTTAGCACGGGTACGGCAACGAAAAATGCAGTCTAACCTTACTTCAGCTTAGAAACAGGGTATACAACAGTCAGTTAGATAGCAGATACGACTTTCATTCAGCGATAAGGGAAGCGAATTCGTGGTAATTCTACAACGATTAGATGCCGCGTTTATAGAAACGATTTCTCCACCTCCAAGACACTTTGCTATATCAGCCTGCGACTGTTAAGATGTTTCAAAAAAAATGTCAGAAACTTAACAGAGAATGGGTATCTATAGCGAAAGCTGCCAACTTAGTGCGCGATATCATTGCTCGTTTGGAAATTGAACTCCCTACCTATCCTGTGCTATTTGCTAGTCAGAACACATAAGCTCCAATCTGATACGGAGTTGACCTCGAACGATTCCTCCACATCCAAAGTACGACCCATAATAAGCGGTGTAGGGGAGGGGGGGGGGGGTACGGATAGAATAGGGTGGTTTATCAATACCATACTGTTAACTACTCAGACTCATCTCTGCGTCTCAACTCTAGCCAATACGCAAGTGTTTTTAAATCGCATACGCGAAACACGTATCATTAGTAAATGCATCATGGAATTATTTGACGTAAATGCTCTCTGCACAAATGTGAGCAACGAGTCCGTGATGCAAGCTGTAATGCGAGCAAATAATGTAAATTAACTTTCACTATATCACTATATCACTCCACATCACAGATCATGGCTCTATTGAAAACGTGGTTAGAATGTAGTACTTTTCGATGGTCTGGGAGCTACTTCATGCAAATACGAGGACTAGCAACGTGGCAACGCTTAGCACCGGCACTCGCGAATAGCATTCATGGCTCATAGAAGCGCCTAATCTAGAACATCGTTCCTTACTCTACTGTAGATATATTAATGATCGCTTTGTGATTTGCGCGACACAAGCAGAGCTTGATGATTGTTTTTAATTACTCAATAAGCATTCAGAAAATATAAGACTGACGAGAGAAGCAGGAAAACGATTGGTTACCATACCAATTTTAAACATTCAAGCGAACATCACCACGGTCACCATGGTACCATAAACCGTGCAATAAGAATATCCTGAATCAATTTCAATCCGCTCGCCCACTTTGGACAAAAAGAGCTTATCAAGAACTAGATGGCAAACCCGGCTCCGCCCGGGACCAAACTTTGCACACATACACTTCGGGGCAGGGAGGTGGACTATGACACGCTCCCTGCCCCGAAGTATATGTGTGCCAAGTTTGGTCCCGATCGGTTCAGAAATAAAAATTTCTATTCCGCACATACGTACAGACAGACATACAGACATACATACAGACAGACATTCAGCTTTATATATAAGATATGTTAAAAACAACTTTGCAGGTGTAGTGGAGAGCAAGAAAGAAAAGAATCACTCAAGCTTGCGCGTTGCATAGCTTCTTCGAATGGGTACGAGGACTTCATACGTACAATGAGAAACCTACCCAATAATAAAAAGATTTCTTTCTAAGCCAGTTCATCTCCACTGAGATAAGTACAGCAATGCGCAGGAGCCTCAAGAAAGTAGGACTAGTTGATTTGGTTTCGAAGTAGAGTGCCACCGAACAGCCTCAAGCGCATTTTAGTAGAAAATCGCATGTATGACAGCAGGACCGGTAATAATCCCCCAACCTGGCGGCAGGTCTCGTCGGGAGATCGCTGGCACCTTTCCGTGAGGTGGCCAGAAACTAAAACCCCAAATTTAGGCCGTCCCAGGCCTTTTTCCAAAAAATTTTCTCGACGAAGATGCCACCTCGACCCTATAGAAACCTCCTTCAAAATTTGCGGTTCCAGAAATCCTCCTGTAGAAAAATATCTGGAAGAGCAGGAGGAGTTGCCGGCAACCTGGTGGCAGCTCGTCGAAATCCGCGAGATGGCAGCTGCGGGCAGGTCAGAGAGAAATAGTGTGCTTTTTTGAGAGAGGAAGCTGCCGGCATCTCGACGTGCCCCTACCACGTCGAGGTGCTGGCACCTTTGCCGACGGCGTCTGTGAGTTTGCGAATTGCGGCGATATTACACAATTTACGTCAGGCGAAAAAATCAAAAATCATTTTTCTCATTACATGAGTTTTTCTTTTTTAAAACGACGATTTTCTTACAGAGAAAAAATTCAGTGCCTTAGAAGTAATGCCTTAGAATCATAAAGAACACCATCTTTTTTGGCAATGTCTTACAAATCTCGTTTGCACCGTTCGCCCCTCTCTCGTTCATATCAATCAGCTGTTCTTTCAGGTCAAAATTTCTCACGCGATGGATCGATCCCTCTTACAGGCAGCCATTTACCAGCGCCTTCCTCCTATGCGGTGCAAACGGCAAAGGCTGACCGAATGGTCGAATGGTTAACGTGGTGGTACTTCAAGTTAATGCACATAGGTTCGACCGCGCGCGAGGTAGCAATTTTGCGGCTGTCTGCGTCATCAAAATTTGATTTGCGAAATGATTGCGTGCTAAGGTTACATAAGATTATCAGAACCTACAATCACTCCGCGATCTGCCGCCGAAGATGGCAACTTCCCCGCGATGTCTGCCTACTTGCCGGCATCTTTGATGCCACCAGGTAGGGTAGATTACTACCGGCCCATCTGTCTATGGACGATTGTATCATATGTCCAGGAGGTGAAGGCGGAGATTGTATGTCAACTGGGGTCGCACTCCATTGCCTGTACCTCTGCGGAGACGAGTATGTAGGCAAAACCGCACGTCCCCTATGTATTCAAGTAAAAGAACACCTAGGTGGCAGGGATAAACAGCGAACTTCCACTCCTTTAGGAACACACAATGTACTAACGCATGAAGGATCGAGTTTTGAGTGACTGTAAAAACATTCACGTAAACCTAGAATGACTGCTCGCAAATTTCTAGAACCATTGTGGATTCATGCTAGGAACCCTCAAATTACCCGAAAAAAAAAGAGTGCCTGGCAATCACGAGAGATCTGTCTCCTTATCTTGGCCAACTGTACTGACCTTCCATTTAGTACTTCCATATACGGTCAGTAGCGGTTTAGGTGGTAAGAGATTGTTACAGCGCTACTGGCCAAAATTGAGGCTTAGACCTTTTTCGTGAAGCCGTAAAGGCATTTGCTCGTCTGGGTCACGAGTCGATATCCAATCAGGCTTTGACAATGGCGAGAAGCCGAAACGTTAGCCAATAAAGTTTATAACAATCCCGGGGTTGGCTACAAGACATCGGTGTCAATTTATGAACTATGTCGAGATTGATCAGGAGTTGTAAATGCTAATTGTTACTATAGTTTTACAAAAAGTCTTAACTCGAAAGATTGCAGTAAAAAGAGGAGCTTCGTTTGAGGTGCTCGTTCAGGCAAAAGTACCGGATGAGCGCCCACAGATACCGGCCTAACTTTTAAGGCTCGCCCGGTGAACGCCCCATCATTGTGGACGCTCACCCACCAGCGTTCTCCTCGCATTGCGCTCGGCCGCCTTGTGGAAGCTCGGCCGGTCGTTGTGGACGGTCAGCCGGTCGTTGCAGCCGCTTACCCGGTCTTAGTGACCGCTCACACGGACTTTCTGGCCTACAGCCGGTCACTGCGGATGATGGCCCGGAATCTGTTATCTTTCGGGAATCCGGCTCTTCTCCTTCAATTTTGGGTCACTTTTCAATTGTTAGAGCAAAACCACTAGATTCAGGCATACTTTATCAACAGGAACAGCTTTCATAACATCCAACAAACGAGAACAAAAATCGATGAAAGAAATAGAGATTTTGTAATCACAAATCATGATGCAATGGCATTTCATCTTCAGTATCTTTTCAGCATACTTCATAAGGTCTCGTTCTCTTCTTTTTCCTCTGAAAGAGTATATGCAATAATAGTAGACTACTTTTTTTACACAAAGAACTTACACTAGCCTTTTACTTTTTATTCTCTGTATCGTGAGCGCGCATACGTCTAAACGAAGGATAATTGATCTACTCTAGCTTAGTGCATTTATACACTTACGAAGCCGTTTGTAGAGCCTTAAAAGTATTCTTCTGCAAACAATTCTTTCGCATGTCAATCTGTCAAAGGCCTCTGCACACTCTTCGTTGTTCTTTCCAAGCTCGCGAAAAACTGAAAAATACATGAATGATATGTCATTCTGAAGTTATACCCGAAATAGCTTAACCTTGATCTAACAGCATTGAAGCCCCCAGTTTTCAAAACCGTATGATCGCGTTTCCGCCAAAGTCTAAACCAGAAAGCCGTAATCAGATTTTGTTTGACAAGATTTCCCAAAGGCGTAGTTCCAACTATTGCTGGCAAATTTTTGAGCTTTAAGTCATGAGCCCTTTCCATTCATTCATGCGATTCAACCTCAGGGAGTATTCTTGAAGACAATGCACTGGTTTCGTAATCTATGCCAATGACACCATGAGAACAGACAAGTTACAGCTTATGGATATCTTTGGAAGCAAATATCTGTAGAAACTTGTAAACATTTCGGAAGGCGTATCCAATCCTTTGATTCAAATTAACTGCCATGCGACTTAGGGAACCCTCAAAATTTTTGTATTCTCCTGCTTCGTTATTATGTTTACAGTTACAAATGGTGAGGGCCCGTTCAGTGTCCATTCACGTGTGCAGTCATCAATGACATTGCCAGATTTTCGCGTTCTTGAGGCACCCATTCACGTTCACCCAATTCTACCATTCATGACAAACGATCAAATTTGGTGCATAAATCTCCTTCTAAACCTGGCTTTAGATGTATAGATCAGTTCTAAACCACGATGGAAGCTTTTCACAATTAGGAAATTAGCTGTACTATTCAGCCTCATCTCTTCAGTCTGGTCCTTTAGAATGAGTAATCCTTCACTTTGGGACTGTTGCACCCTTAGCGCAGCCTCAGATTGCACAAAATCTTGTTACGGTACTGTTAATCAGAACATAAAATCTAAGCAGGAAGTAGCTCACAGCTACTTACAGCTACTTAGTTTGCATATCATTCCAGGACAGTAGTTCGCGGAGGCGGCTCAAACTGGCTGCTTTCGTTCCCTACTCATAGAGGTACATGCAGATTTTCCAACGGTTGAATCATTCAACTATGAAGTGACCCCAAACTTTGTTACACAGGGGGTCCCAAAAAATGTGCACACTGTTTGATCGTCAATAACTCGCTTGATTTGATGTCTTTCATCGATCTTTAGGTAATATTTTATAGAGAGGTTTAACTTATGTTAGATTTACAGTATGAAGCAAAACTCCTATCTCATTCTCTTGTATGATTATGGTGTGAAATTTGGCATATAGCGCCATTGTGAATTAAGCCGTTCGATAGAAAAGAATTCCGAAAAATCTGGAAGTTTGTGTAGCAAGGTCTCAAAGCATGCTGATTTTATTATGCAAATATCTACAAAAATTCTGAGCCTTCAGAGCACCACAATTTGGAAGAATAGCGGAAGAGCAATTGTAACCGTTTTCCCGATCTTATGGAAAAACACGACCGCGGTATGCACGATTGCATATCTGTGATCAGCGACCTTTATTAGCAGTATGGAAGTCAGTAGTATGAAAGTATGGAAGTTTTGCTTGTTTGGGGGGGGGGGGGGGATGCGACTCTTATGGCTTCAAATCATCATCAAAGTTCCTACCGTAATTCAGTAACGAGGAAGGGTAGGAGCAGTTTCATACTGTAAACCTAAGCTGAAGCCAGCTCTACAGAATGGTACGTAAAGAACGACAAATGCATTGAAGTAGGAGAGTTATTCAAGATCAAACAGTGTGCGCATTTTGTGGGACATTCTGTATGTTTGCAAAAACAGACCGAGAAGAAAACAACAACAAAATTCAAAAAATAAACTGAAAACTTACAGTAATTGATTGTTTTGCCGAATCGAGGTTTCTTGGTGGATGTTTATTCGACCGACGTTTCGACGGGCTCGTCTTTTTCAAGAGGTCTTAACTCCACCGCATACCAGTAAGTCCGCACAATGGGACAATAACGGACGTCAAGAGTGACGAGTGACGTCCGCTATTGTCCCATTGTGCGGACTTACTGGTATGCGGTGGAGTTAAGACCTATTGAAAAAGACGAGCCCGTCGAAACGTCGGTCGAATAAACATCCACCAAGAAACCTGGATTCGGCAAAACAATCAATTACTGACACATATCAAAATGCCCAGGTTCAAAGATAAGAGAGCTTTTGATTTACTTACTGAAAACTTACATTTATATCTGCGGCGTTAATTTATACGGCTGAAGCTTCTCTCGTTTGGCATGCCGCTTCAACTCCGACTTTCGGTAAATTGAATAATACCTTTGTATTTGAAGAGCACTTCGATTGTAGGCCCCCGGACTGTCAGTGCCGCTCGGCCAGTGTTTTTGAGCGCTCGCCCAGCATCTTTCGATTCTATACCGCTCGCCCGGTTGATTCGTGGCCGTTGAGCTGGTAATTGTGACCGACTCCCTAATAATTCCAGATTCCAGGCCGCTCGCCCGGTGACAGAGTGCGCACAGCCGGTGAATTCGCCGCTCGCTCGGGACTCTTATGGTGGCGCGCCGCTCGTCCGGTACTTTTGCCTGAAAATAAATTCGTATTCGGCGCTAAACCGTTCAAAAGATTAAAACCATTTCCATTTTTGTGCGCGTATACTTTTTTGGCTATGCTCTCACGTAGTACCAACGGTTTCTTGAGTTCCTACCAAAAAGTCCCATAGCTCTTAAACACTTATGAGACGTTCGTACAATATGAACCGAACTTGTATTGCTTATAGTGAACACTTTGACATTACCCAAAACAGAAAAGTAAGCTATTATCTCATCACCTAACCGACTTACAAGCGGAGCCAGAAAGTCAGAACTTATACAGGGTGTCTCAAAAAATTTATCGAAGGTTTGATTTTTGATGACTTCCTTATATGGAAAGCTTTCGCGGATCTTTGGGGTCCATACGGTAGGGGTAGCTTCAGCTTAGTTTTACAGTATAGAGCAAATTACTGATTCCTCTTAGTTACTGTAAATTTATGGTAGAAATTTTCGACTAATTTTAGGTTTCTGAGGGACGAGAACTGCTTTTGAAAGACTCCAAAAAAAAATAAAGGTTTAAACTAGAGTTTCCTTGGGTGAATCTAATTACAAAACTTTTCGCTACCGTACCCCATAGCTTCTCACGGATGCGCACTGTAACGCTGAATTTTTGGCTTTTTTCCAAAATTTTCTAAATTAACGTTGCAGTCACAAACACGTCGTCAATCAATCAAATAATTAGATCAATGAAATCAAATGAAATCATTAGTTGATTTGAATTCTGAGTTTGTAAGTTTTTGCACTCATTATTTGCAATCAATAACATTGAACAAGACTTAGAGGTCTAACTGAACTTTACTCGACAAAGGCAGCGTTGAATTCTAAAAGAAAGCCGAAAATTCAGCGTTACAGTGCGCATACCGTAAGAAGCCGAGGAATACGGTAGTGAAAATTTTTGTAATTAGATTCAGCTTTTCGGAAAGCATTAGTTTGACGTCTTTCGGTTTTTTGGAATTCTTTAGAAGCATTTCTCGTCTGTCAAAAAAGCATTTCTCGTCTGTTCCTAAAATTAGTCAAAAATTCCCACCGTAATCCTACAGTGAATAAGACAAATTGATGGGTGTAGGCCCTTTTGAACCCGCTCTGATCGCAATGGCTACGATAGGTCAGCGTGTCTCAGAGGTCACGCTTCGATAAGGCGAGCGGTTGACTTTAAGGCAGTGGCTCGGCAAATTTCAACCTAGTCAAAATTGCGCCCGAAAATCCACTTTTGAAAGCTTGAAAACGGCGAAAATGAGCGTTTTTTGATGTCCTTCCCTTTGATATTGGACGAGTGGAGCAAGGCCGATAACACTAAATCGTGGCAGGACCCAATAGTTATAGCGTTGCGGCGGGCAGCCTCCAATGGTGAGAAGAAAATTGCCAACTCGTCCAGATGCGTGTAAGATTGGCCTGCGCGTGTATGTTTGAGAGCGATTTTCTCGGAGGGAAAGCATACTGTGCAACCGGGATTGCACTGTTTTCATTGGGCGATAAGGAACCTACCGCGTTAAAATTCCGATCTACTGCCTTTAAGCAGGTGCGCTGCGAAAACGGACAAGTTTCCCAGTGATGACCTACCTCCCTCAGACCCTTGACAGAGATGTCGTAGACGCATGATGATAACCGAATGCTACTATTCTGCTGTCTTAGTTAATGAATTCGCTGCTATCCACTAAATTGACCTTCCAAACACGGAAAAACTGTGGGATGTGTTTGCTTCGACTACTAAGTACTCTATTTTTGGTTGAGTGAGATGAGTGCTGGTAGCCCTTATTACTCCATGTGTGCAATCCTTGCTGCATCGTGCATCGTCACATTCATTTGTGTATGTGAACTAGACGAAGCTTGCAACGAAAACGCACTCTTTCTAGTTTGTTTATTGCTGCTAACCCGAGACCCGAGATTCTTGTTAGTGCAGTTTGTTGCCAACAGTTTGATTCTGCGCCGATTACAGCGGCTGTATAATTATATTCATGTAAACCATATAAATACTTATCAGTTTTAAACCTAGTTCTAATCATGAAGGAAAATAGCGAATATAATTGTTTCGTAACTGTTTCGTGAGCTTTACAGAGCTGGGAAGTTCTCGAATCTAGCTCAGAAATTTGATTTACAAGCGGTGGCTAGAAACATTCAAAATTTCATGCACAATCCCAAATTCAAAACTAGCGTTAATTGCACAGAAAACTAGATGTTATCGCCTTGATATTGAGCGAAAGTGCTTAGAGCAAACTACAAACTACTCAGTATTGTGCAGAGTTCATAGAAAACCATCCGTTGTACTTTGAATTGTGGGTCGGTTCGCGTGTGCTTTCCTTTCGACGCACCATGCAGTTCACAACGTTCGATTGTGTGACAATGCATGGAGCAGAAAGGATGCACACAAACAAAATCTGGCAGTGAATATAATCAAAGTGAGGAAAGAAAACCATTTTCATAATTAATCAAGAAATTCAAAACTACGCTTCTAGAACAAACCTGATTGATATGATCAGGATAAAGTCAGGCCGTAGAATAGCAAAATGCAGCGAATAGTAGTTTAACAGAAACGGGACTGGATAAGGTGAGGATTACTACAGCATTCAGAGGGTAAGAGATTAAGATTTCGTTTAAGCGTTTCGCAGAAGACTCGTCCGCAATGGCCTCAGCGCAAGCCGTCCTACTTTCGGGGTTACTGTAGTAGAGCCGTCTCCCGAAATTGGTGATTCGCTCTATACTGTGAATTTAAGTTGAAGCTAGCCCTATGTCTAGCATCCAAAGGTCCGCGAAAGCTTTCCATATAAGAAAGCTACCCTATTTTCAGATGTATAAGCCGCACTTTTTCAACATTTCCCACGAGCTGCTCAGCCGCTTCATTGTGTTTCGAGAAGCGATCCTTATGTCGGACGATTTTCATTCAATACGCAAACGGTGTAAGGTCTCTTGGTTGCGGGGTCCTTTGATGCGTTCGGGCTGGTCGATGTAAGCTAGGATCACCCCCGGCTTATACACCTGAAAATAGGGCATCAAAGATCAAGTGTTCGATACATTTTTTTGGAACACCGAGTATTCTTTTCTGGCTAAATTCGCATGGCGAAAACAGTTTAGAGAGGAAGATGTTTTGGAATTATTGCTAAGAGCAACCAATGCTCGAATGATCATTTTGGATTGTTTTGCTTTTGTAAGAAGCCGCTGAACAGCTTCTGAGCCATTTAAAGGCAGCGTTCGGACAAAATTTCACCTCGCCGTACCAAAGGCCCGTATCTCCTTTAGAGGCCACGTCAAAGCATCGGACTAAAGCAAATCGGATATTCATGGGGCCCGCCTTACTATATTAATCTGGGTGGGTGAATCTTGCTCGAACGTTGCCTTCAAATGTTCTAGAACCTTACCCAGATGATTTTGAGATAACCTGTTCAAGTAAGCGTAAACGTGTTGATTATCATTGTGGCGAGACAGTCCTCATCAGATCTATGGAGGAAAGTTTTTGATATGAAGCACATATCTCTTGAGAACATATTGAAAAATAGGTCAAGATAGCGGAAAAGTACCAAAGTTTTTTCAATTCTAATACATTTTTCTCAGGAACCCCGATTTTTCAAATGTTATAAGTGGTTCTAGAATGTAACAGAATTTTACGGGCTTAGCTTATCGTGAAGCCAATAGTCGGCTCAGCAAAAACGGCCAAAATTGTGAAGAATTTGAAGGAATTTGCATGCCATTTCTATCATAGTGACAAATTACTTAGATACTTACAAGGAGAGGATACTTAGTCGAAAGCACCATTCCAGATGAGACATATATCATCTTGAAGCGCTTGAAAGCTGACTCCAAATCTGCAGCTTCTAGCTGCAGAGCGGTTTTGTAGAAGGAGTTATGAAGGAGAGTTTCTGTAGGGCGCCTAAACTCCTCTCTGGAGTTTAGGCGCCCTACAGCGGTCTCCCCTTATCTATGAGCACTGTAGAGGAGTCTCAGCTGCTGGGAACTGGCCTAATGATAAGTAACTTGTATGAAGATTACAGTAAAGATTATAATACTCATATTTCGTTGGTTTTTTTAATTCTTCTAATTTCGATTAGTACCAATATCATCAGAAGTTTCATGCTTTAGGGCTCTAATGCCATTTAGAAGTTCAATTTAGCATGCGAAGTGAATTAAAACTTTGACACTCTCTTTATCAAGCACGTCACTTACCACTAGGTTAGTTGCCACCAGTTGGTAACTAACCTAGTGGATAGTGATGTGCTTCTCTACAGTGCTCATAGGTAGGGGGAGACCTGATGGAGGACGCCTCAACCCCAGAGGAAACACTCCTCATAACTCCCTATACAGAACCGCTACGCAGCTAGAAACTGCAGATTTGGAATCAGCATTTCAAGCGCTTTAAGATGATATATGTCTCATCTGGATTGGTGCTTTCGACTAAGTATCCTCTCCTTGTTAGATACTTACAAGGAAAGTACTTTCAATGGCCTTGGCCTTTTGATAAGAGATGCATACCACCTGAAGCAGCTTCGAACGCTGATTACAAATCTGCTTTTTTCTTCTGCGGAGCGCTCTTCGGAAGAACGTTATGGAAGCCTGAATATCCTGTTTAGGGGCGCTCCTTGAGTTTGAGGACGCTGCTACGTACGTTGGTGGTGCAGTGGTGTAATGGTTAGTTGTTGACATTATAAGCGAAAGGTCGATGGTTCGAATTCGGTTTGACTGAATTCATTTGAAAGGTTTTGATTTCATTTGGAACGCCACTCCAGTATTGTTCCCTTACAAGGAAAGTCCGATTAGTCGAAGTGGCCTTTCCAAATGAGTCATATACCATTTTGAAGAGCGTCAAACGCTGATTCCGAATCTGATTTTGTTATCTGCCGAGCGCCTCTGCAGGCCGAGTTATAAATGTTTTTAGAGCGAAAAATGAACGCAGAATTCAAGTAAAATTAACTGTTAATTTGAGCAATTCTGACGAATTTTGCTTTAATTATGCATTCAATTTTCCAGCCCGAAGAACGTTCATAACTCGGCGTCCAGAGGCGCTCGGCAAATAACGAAGACAGATTCGGAATCAGCGTTTAACGCTCTTCAAAATAGTGTATGACTCATTTGGAAAAACCACTTCGACTGAGCCGACCTCTCTTGTTAGTAACTTAATGGGTATTTGCGAGCATGAGAATTGCGCGGAGGTTTTCTTCATACGCTGTTTCCGTTGTGAAAAATGTATATGTTTTGCTCACTTTGTAATTTCGCTTCACCTCTGTACATGAATTTTTTTGCGGAACAAACCAAATATCAACAAGCAAGCGGTTCTGCGAGAAAATTTTTTCCATAAGTCACATTTGTCAAGGGCATTGCAGTAAGTGTCTGCAGACAAATTACAGTGGTTTTTGAACTCACATTCGTAGTGCAAATTACGCTCTGCACTGGATTCGAACAATCAGCCTTTCGCCTTTGATGCCAACAACTAACCATTACACCAGTGCACCTCCGATGCACATAGCAGCGCTCTCTAACTCAAGAATCGCGCCTAATAGAATTTTCAGGCTTCCATAACTCAATTCAGAAGATTGCTCCGCAGAAAAGGAAAGCAGATTTAGAATCAGCGTTCGAAGCTGCTTCAGATGCTCCGCAGAAAAGGAAAGCAGATTTAGAATCAGCGTTCAAAGCTGCTTCAAATGGTATGCATCTCATATCAAAAGGCCGCGGCCATTGAAAGTACCTTCCTGGTTAGATGAGGACAAGGTGACAAAAATTTGCATTTTTTATAGTTTTCTGTTTTTCCACCATTGACAGTTGAAACGATTTTTTTGAGACTGAATGTTCTAGATCCAAACTCAAAGAAAGCAAAAGTTCCGTAATCACTTATGGCTTTTGAGCTACTTATAAGACTACACTAAAAGGATATGTTTGTGTTAAGATTTTTCAGATTCAAAAGTTTTCCAAAATTATATCCTGATAATGTTTTGCAGCTCAACTTTCTTGCAAATGCTATCATGTTTAGATAAATTCCACCCTGCGTAATTTCATGAAAGTGAAGTAAATTACAGAGTGTCCCAAAATAACGTGCAATTATGTGATAGTTAATAACTCTCTTGCAATGATATCTTTCGCGATCTTTGCGTGCAATTTTACAGTGCTGGCAAGACTTGGCACAAGGTGGCTTTCTGACAATGCAAGAAAGAAATCCTTTTTGACCTTCGGGAAATTTCACGAAGTCCGCTTTTACTCTAGTTCTAAACGTAAAAAGCCTCAGAATACGAAACAAGAAAAACGACAAGAAAAACGTAACCTTGTTTTGTCGGTCACAAAACCAATAGCCAGGGCTCGGCACGATAAGGGCAAATGACAGGCTGGTTGGTTGATCGTTTTAGGTGAAAAAGCAAGGAAGATACCGTTTTGCGATATCCGGGGCGAAGCTCCGGCATAACTGTAGTTCATGCTTTCTGCTTATCTTAACATGCTATGTGCCTCAACACGCGAACACTGGAGTACGCGTGTGACGTCCTTCAATCGATGCTATTTGTGATAGCGTACATGAATAGTTCTCGATGTATGCGTAACGATATGGCACCAAATTTCGTAAGCGGACGAAGAGAGGCCAGTCAGGGCTTACAGATTGTCTGCAAGAAGGCTGGTCGCTGGACTTCTTCTTTGGAGCAAAAAGCAAAGGAGATATCGTTTTTGACGAGTCGGGGCCGAGCACCAAAATAAGCGTCATTTAGTCAAACAAGCAAGCTTTTCGGACAGGTTATCACACGATTGACATGCTCTATCGTGTATGGCGAAAAGTGCGCGCGATTTAAAAGCAAGGCAAATGAACAAAATGCTTGTTTACAGCGGACACAGAATCGTATGACACCAAAATTGAGCTGTATTCATTGAAAATTATGTGCTAAAGAATTATGTAAGAGGAATTGGAAACTTATGTGAGGTATTACCTTTTCCAAGAATAGTCCGTCTCCAGAAGGTCACCAGATCTGCGACTGGTTGGAGCCAGTAGCGTACCCATCTCGGGGGGGGGGGGGGGAGGCTCTCCCTCGGTACGCCACTGTCTGGAGTATATATTTTTGTCAATTCACAAAAGTTTTGGATTTTTTTCTATCAAGGACGCATTCTCCGGTCAAAAATCTGTCCTTGGGCATAAAGGCATTATCTTATCACTGCCTTTCCTTTGTTTTTTGCCTTAATTTCTTCATAAATCGCTTTCTTAAATGTCGAGTCCCAATGCCAAACTCTTGGCATACATGTGTTCAGCTCCAAATTGGATTTTTGCTCTTATCTCACGTTTTTTCTTTCATACTAGTAAATCTCTTCTTTTTATCTTCTCTTGAGTAGGTAAGTCAAAGAAGACTTTGTAGACTAAAGACTTCCGAGAGTCAGGAGGGACTTTTTAGAGACCCTAGAAACCCACTCATGCCGGGCCCTGATGCTGGTCCTCGTGTATAAGAAAGCGAGCTCCATCGAGCAACCTACGCAGCTGGCAGGATCAAGTGCGAAATCGTAAAAATGGAAAGTGGAAAAGGCGGAGTTGTTTCATCAGTGTCCATTTACCACCTCCGTGCTGGGCCCTGACGATACTCCCTTTTGCTTTTTGTCCAAAAACGATATCCAGCTTGCTTATAAGCCACCTGTGCCGAGCTCTGGAGCTGGCCTCAACTTACAAGGGAAAAAAGGTTGGTCGAAGTGGCCTTTGAAAATAAGATGTGCACTGTCTTGTAGAGCTTGAAACGCTGTTTTCCAAACCACCTGTGCTATCTGCTGCGGGCTTTCGGGCTTCTGGGCGAAAAGTTATGCAGGTGTTTGTAAGTAAAAACTCGACTGCAAAATTAGTATAAAGTCAACCATAACCTTTTCCTGACGTTCAAGTGGGGCAGCAGCGAATCGATTTATTTGAATCAAAAATATGGGTTGCACCGAGTGACTCGACTATTGGTCAAGCCCTGGAAAAAATGTTACGACCGATTTCACACTAATCTTGCATTTGACTTCTTACTCACAAAAACCTTCATAACTCTTCGCCCAGAAGCCCGCAGCAGGGAAGGCAGATTTGAAGCCAGCGTTCTAAGCTCTATAAGACAGTATGCATCTTTTTATGAAAGGCCACGCTGACCGATCTTCCTTTCCTTGTTAGACCTATATCGCTGTAGGTTTATGGTAGATAGATGAGGATTTTAGGCCCAGTGAGAGCCTTATCTTGTCTCAAAACCAAACAAGCCGAAAACTCTTATGTCAGGCTAATCAAAGTCGCTGATTTCGGATATGACCTTCACTTTACTGTGATGCTTCTTTTTTAAGCTATTAACCGTAACAGCTTTTCCCAAATGCTCATTAAAAATGTGATTACAACACTGAAAAAGCCCAGAAAACCCCTCTTACACCTTTTTTCAATTTTTTTCAATCAGATTTTCGTCAAACGACCTATATTTCAATGATGCTGTGTGCTGAAAGTTCGTATCGTAATTCTACACTGATGAAGAGTGATCGATGATTCGCTCCAAACTTTGAGTCTTAGTTAAAGTCAGCTCTATAGAATGGTGCTCAGAAATCGACGAAAGACGTCAGTGCAAGGTGGATTTTAACTACGAAACAGTGTGCGCATTTCTAGGGGAATCTCATACTTCCTAGTTTGAACTTACGCAAACTTGAAAGGCTTTACAGCTACACAGTAACAAAAATTCTGAATAAATGTGGATCATTCGTTACTTCGGCCGGAGATTAGACGTTTGCATTCTATGTTAAAGAAGCATACATATCAACGATACAGTCAGCCAAATAAGATTATTCGTATTGAATAGCCAATGAGTCCATAATTATTTCGCCACAATCGAATTCGTCTACAGCAATATAATCAGCATCGGAACATTATGCATGGGAATTACTGTAAGGTTGCATTGTTACTCGAAACGTAGCTGTGCCATCGTTAGCATTTTTTGGAGAAATCGTCGCACATTTACAATTCTAAGCTAGCGCAATTTCGCAGGAAAAAAATACAATGAAACATATTCAAAGAAGGTGAGAAAAAAATTGTCCATAAATTTCGACTTCGCTGTTACGATCATACTCTCGCATTACATTTCCACGACTTTGTGAGTATTGTTTCAGGCGCCAAATGTGGTTCCGACTTTTTGCGCTCGCCGTTGTCGTATCCCTTACTCTTGCACAAGGTAGCACGTAAAGTCTTTTACGCCTCTTTGTTTACCTTGATTTAATAATATTTGTAGTATTCTAATTCTGATTCAAAAAGTAAGAAGTATGGTAGGGCTATAGTTGACACAGGTCCGCTCAGGAAAAAAAGAAAAAAAGGACATCGCGCAATGCTCAGTTAATATAATGAATAGATAATGAAGTTTATCATTACCTTGCCTTTCTCCAAAATTTATATGCTGAGCATCTTAAGGTAATCAAAAGTACTACAAGCACCTCGGAAATATAAAATATATGCCGCTTGCGAACCAAGTCTACTTTAGACAAAGGTCCGGAGAGAGTGGAGGTATATTTCACCTTCAAATTTCTTTAAATTATGCAGTGCACTTACACTAAATGCCGGCTGCTCGGTAGATTTTTTCAATCAATCTATACAATCTGCAAGCAAATTCCTTTCAGTAAATGGCGGAGGTTATCTGAATCCAAGGCCGGAGGGGGATAGAGGTACGCTTTTATTACTAAAATTACTTCGAAATATTGCTTAATGTAGTAGTTATTGGCGATTCAGGTAAGTTCCCAGCAAATTTACGAACTTTAATACGAAATTTACGAGGGATCCATATGAGCTATGCATTCTACAGATACGAGCATGGAGGAAGAGGTCCTGGATATATTCAAAAACCTGAATTATAACAAAAGGTAAGTAAATCTGTACTTTCAGAGCGAGCAAATTTGTTCCTATGCTGATGTGATGTTTTGGTTCACAATGAAAATTATCTATATTAAGGACATGAAATCCGTGAAGTCTACCATGACTCCTCAACACGTTTAATAAAGCATGTTTTTGTTAATGACCACAAGTTCGCAAGATTTGTTGAAAATTCTACACTAGTAGCAAAGCGAAGGCAGTTTTTTACTTGCCGCAGCGGAGAGTTTTCGCTTAGACTTCCACGTTTATTTCATCGGTGCTTGAAGTTGAATGCTGTGTCGTCACTCGACAAGCTGCATACAGTTGCAGAAACACATAGAATTTGCAGAAAACATTTCAGTCTCCCCTAAAAGTACACTGGCAGCTGTTCATTTAAGAAGAAAAGTTGCTGGCTTGCACCTATGTCCTTAAAGGCACCGTCCACCCAGATTTTTGACACATTTTTGTCGTTTCAGAGCCTTCTCACGTCCCTGATTCCGAATGTGAAGTTTGGAATGCGCGAAAACCCCGACAATCCCCGTTCCGGAGAGCCCACAGGCCTGCTTTCCGAAACGTGATTGGATGGGCGCGCACAAATGGGCGGGCATGGATGGGGAAGGGCGGGCATGGGTGGTCCTCGTGCATCTTCGCCATTCCGAAGCGATTTTCTTGCTTCCGAAGTGGAATTTGCGACGCGACTTGAGAATTGGATTGATAGGAGGCCCTACTATTATATACTGCCAAAAACTCCACCCTCACCTTAGTGTGGACGGTGCCTTTAACCCCTCTCAAATGTTGTAGTGGAACCAAGAAATATCTTACATTCGAAAATGTAGTTTAGATGCGATGGATAACGCGTAACGTTAAGAATCCTTCACGAATCAAAAATTATCTATATGTGTTTTTGAAAATATTGGACACCAGTAGCTTGGTTGAACGAGTCCCCTCAGTATACGCTCTGAAGAATGCAATGTGATTGAAACTTTGAGTTCTGTTCTGGCATATGATTGGCAAATGAGGCAAAAATAAATGGCTACAACCAAAGGATTCTGTTCGTAGAATAATGGGCCTTTACTGTGTCAATCAATCGTTGAGAACTACTGTCAATACGAACTTCAATTACTAGCTCGTTTTGCAAACTAAAATTTGCTCAACATCTCAAAGTTTTGGTGCATATCACACATACACTCTCTACCATACGTCGTAATTTGACGGTCACTCAGGTTAGTTTAGTCTAATCTATTTACTGGCACATTGTGAATGTCCTCTCAAATCAAATTACAGTACTTAACATCACGAAATGAAAACGCGCCGCGCTTTCAAGACAAGCTTTTCTCAAAGACAAGTTGTCCATCTACATTTATCGCATTTGAGCTGATTGATGCAAGTGACGTAAAGCTTGAAAGTCGCTGGTTTCCTATGAAATGACTTATTATTCTAATGGCTTTTTATTTATAGCTTTTATACAGAGTCTCCGTAAAGTACGCATACACTATTTGATCGTTAATATCTTTCTTAACAAGTCTTTTGCCTTGCTTCAGGTACCGTTTTGTAGAGCTGAATTCAACTTAGATTTGCAGCATAAAGTGGATCACTCATCTCTCTTCATTACTGTAGGATTATTGTAAAAACTTGAAAAATATGGTGTCCATGTGGAAAAAGCTGCCGTCTCAATGTTTTTCAAAAAAATTTGTGAAAACTTGTGTAATAGGGTTTTCACGAACGCTGAGTTCAATACTTAACTATTCACAGGATTGCGAAGCTTTCTAAACGGTGTGAACGCACTTTTTAGGAACATTGAAAAAAAAGTCCGCTACCTCTTACCCGGCATAACTTTTCAATGAAGCATCATAATAAGTTGGGAACTTTACAGTTAGAATCAACAACTCTAATAAGCCTAGTGTAAAAGCTTTCGGGCTGTTTTATTTCCTTTTGAGGCAAAATATGGCCTTTTATGGCTCAAAACCCTCTTTGAAGTTTCCACCGTAATCCTACAGTAATGAAGAAAGATGGGTAATTTTCCATACTCTAAATCTGAGTTGAAGCCAGCTCTACAAAACGATACCTGGAGAAAGGCAAAAGACTTCTTGGGAAGAAAGATATTAACGATCAAATAGTGTACACATAATTTACGGATACCCTGTATAAAGCTGAATGTCCGTTTGTCTATATGTCTGTCTGTATGTACGTATGTTCCGCATAGAAAATTCCATTTCTAAACCAATTCGAACCAAACCTTGTACGCATACACAGGGAGAGGGGCGGGTGTCGTAGGCTACTTTTCGTTACCGATCGATGTCGATTTTATAGACTTTTATCGGTTTTTGTGAAGTTTGATCTGCGGGGCAGGGAGCTGGCACACGGGGTAATTGAACATGCTGATTACTAATACAATATTATTTTTCAAAGTTATTCTTTACTTTTATCGATTTAATCCATTTTTTGCAAAGTTCGAGCTACGGGGCTGGTAGTTGGCCATGCTGATTATTAACACAACGGGAATAGGGAATTGGCATGTAGAAGCGGGCAGAGGGAAAGGTTGTACAGAGGTATAGGCATGGGACCTTTATCACACTGTTTTGACAGGGCCGGGCGGAGCCGGGTGAGCCAACAGTACGTCTATAACATTGGGAAGAAAATCTCTCTTTTATTGTGGCTGAAAATTGGCTTTCATGCAAGCAGCGTTGAATCATTTACACTCCTGTAACTTTTCCTCATGGAGAGTGTGGTCCTTCTGGTTGGGTGGGCGGAGCTAGCTTGCCTTGGAAGGGAGTGGCCCAACTTTGGATTCTACGAAGGTCGCGCAGCCATCTAGGGCCTCATGCAGTTCGTGCAGTTGGAGGTGCTACTGAAGCTTAGCGGAGGAGGCGGAGCTGTCAGCGGAGGGGGCGGGGTCCGCCACAAGAATGAGAAACCAGCGGACCTCAGTGCGCTTTGAGCGAACTTAATCAAGTTTAACTCAACTGAGCGCGGTAATTCTCTTTGTTATGTTCTAGCTGTAAATGCACTCCTTGCAGCCGTCAGCGGCGACGGGGGCCATGTCTACATTTATACGGGGTCCTTACAGCTCGGGGGCCGGTTTGATTACCCAATTTTTGGAAAGAGAATTGAGCACATGTTTTGCCTACAAGGAAAACGGGAACGCACATGAAAATTCCTAAACAAAGAAATCACTACCGCTGCTTTCTTTTTCCGGTAAACGGAGTCATTCTGTCAGACATCATATGATTTGAATAAAAATGTGGAGTTCTTCAATTAAATTTGTAGTAAATGTAAATTCACTATAAACTTTGACAATTCGCATTACAAATTTTTCCCCAATGGACTTCACATCCAGTAGACTAGATCAGTGGTTCTCAGCGGGTGAACAGCACATACCAAAGCATCGTCTTCATGAGAAGGCCATTAATACTTCCCTGGTGATTTCTTAGCTGCAAAATTACTGACATAGATAAGTTGCGACCAGTTTCAGTATAGCATCAACCAAACCTAGGTTTGCATGCATTATTTTAATGCAACAATACCGTCTCATATCTCATACTCTAAGGGTTGTTAATTGGTAAAGATTCGCGAAAATATACGCAAACTGTTCTTATATGACTTTTAGTAATCTGTGCGAAAAGGTCATAAATGCAAAACTGCACAATTCTTGCAGAGATAAAATTTATTAGTGCTTTTAGTGTTAGATAGCCGATATTAGATAATTATCAGCGGCGGACCAGGGAGACGGGAGCGAGGAGACCTGAGAACTGGTTGCAAAATTTTGTGTTACTTACGTGCTTATAAAATTGTGCAAATGGCCTGTTTTTTCACTTGTAGCTAGCCATGCACCTCTATCCACAGAAATATGTCCTCCTCTTTGTCACAACAAACAGCTTTATGTATCACATCCATTCTCTTATGCTGAGTCACATCTGTCAGAAGCAGTCCTGGTAAAACGGCTATTCTTCAATTTTACGAAACATTTGGCACACACTGAAGCGAAACTTCTCAATTGATTCCTTTACATTTTTTATTCATAAGCAGCCAAAACTATATGTTGTTTTTTTGCACTCGCTGAAAGTTTTGCTATGGTACAACATGTTGCGAGAAAATTACCAACTTCATACTTTTAGTAAAAAATTGGAACGTTTCAAATCATCTGAGTAACCCTTCATCGTATATGTATATTATATTGGACGCTTTTTTCTAAAAAAATACAATTGATAACTACAGTTTCCCAACATAAACACTGCTACCGAGTTCGTCTTGGAACATTTCATAAGGTTGGTACAACATCTGGCGTGATGCAAAGAAATCCGGTAATTACCCAAATAAAGCCAAATTCATGGCTTTGTTTTTTGAGAATAAAAATAAGTTTGAGCTTTACACAATAATGTCGTGAAGTTTCGCGAATTTCCGGGAATTTCGCGGAATTCCCGGAATTCACGGAAATTTTGCACATTCTGAGAGCAGTATTGTAATTGACAGTAGGGAAAGGGGGGGGGGGTTTGCTAATTGAGGTGCGAGGGTGACCTCATATCATCCCGAGTAGCGCTGATGAGCAAATGCTAGGTAGTAGTCATTTATATGCATCTTTGTGATCTTTTTCTCTCTATGATAAAAGCGAATTGAGCTCTTCTGTAGGTGGGGGTCTATAAGAAAAGCAAAGTACATTTTTATGCATATCTCTGTGGAAAATGTGGACCTCGTGCCCGGATACCCGTATTTCTGTTTCTATTCAAAGGAGTTATTTCAGGAATTTTACGGATAAATCGGAGTTTGAATACACAAGGAGTCTAATAACGATTCCGGACTTTGAAATTTTCCGGAAAGTTTATGATAGATTAAAATAAAATAATAATTCCAGGAGAATGGTCAAGGCATTGGCATAGCGATGATTCGGTACAACCCTTATTGCGCTATGAACTGGTGAAAAAATTGGGCAGCAGCATGAATGTGAAGGGGCGCTGCCCTATAGTATTAGGTTGCTGCATAAGTTCTGTCCGATTTAAATTTTTTGAGTTCAAAATGTCATAACTCTCTTCAATGTCAACTTTTTCTTAAGATCTTAGTTTCTGTGTGTTGAGCAATTCCTTGGCTATCAGAAACATATTGAAACCCGAAAATCCTTGTTAAGGAAGAAGCAAGAACTCAAAAACTTCACAGCGTTTTTCTTAAAACCTGTCTTTTTTGACATGGCATT